CGTTTAGTCGAGTAATAATTAAAAGGTAAGTTAGTGGAATATTAATTAAAATCTGTTAGGATTAATTTTAAATGTATTAAATGTTATATAGTTAGAGAAATTTAAGGTAAGACCAAAAAATAAGTAATTAAATGAAAGGGTCCAAACAACTTGTATAGGTAGATTTTTTAAGACTCCTTCTCTTTTAATAGTATTGATTACCATAACTAATCTCATAGAATATCTTTATTTTCTCTACTAAAATCGGCACTAAAATAAATAAACTAAATGTCAAAAAGAAATGATTAGATGTTTGGTATTACTGAGCTACTTGAGTTTCCTTAAAGTTTTTTTTTTTTGAAACACTTTTAAAGTAGAAAATATTATCTTCAACAAACCCCTTATAACGCGTTATCGCCATTCCCATTTATATTTTTTACTGGTTACGGGTTGTGATTATGAAATGTTCTGCCTTATCACCATCACTAAACAAAGCTGTACACATCAACACCATCGATAGTTGAAGAAAACCACTAGTTCATGATCACTATAATTAATTAGTAAAAACGATCTACTGAATTTTGCAAGATATATCGTTCATCTATCCTCTCTACTTTCTGATATCGAATTTGCCTTTGTACTACGAGAAGCCAATATATCTGCTGATTTAATTGATTAAATGGCCTCTTAAGTCTATTGTAATGATTTGTAGTAAGTTCAGGTTTAATGAATGTTTTTTTGATCAATATTTCAGAATAATCGAACAATGATTAGCGAAGCAGATACATCGTGTTTCTTGAAGAGCAAGTGAGCATATATAATAAATTACCTAATACCTAGGGTCTTATCGATTGACTCATCGAACTCAATTGGAAACCTTCCAAAGTAACATTAATTTGCTATATCAACTTCAAATGGTCAAACACTTTTCTAAGACACAACTTAGATAGTTAAATTTAAACACTCAAATCAGGAAACTATTCAAGCTTTTTCATGTGTGATTTTTATTATTATACCATAACTCTAGTACGTGATTTATTACATATGTAAGAGGTCACAATATGGCCCTACATCGTCTCGGTTTATTTTTAAAATTGCTTATATTAACTCGGTGTTTTGTAAAGTCTTTTTGTATGACGATATCGTATTGAGAGTGAAAAAACGTGTGTACATAGAGACTAGATAGAATTCGAGAACTAAAAAATAACAGGCTAAGTCATTTTTGTAGACCGATTCAGCTTGTACGTGAAACAAAAATATATTATATTAACTTAGTAAATGGAACAGACATATATTTGTTAATTCTGAGTGATTTAAAAATACATTTATAGATCGAAAAGAATAATTTTTTTCGTCATTTTTCTGCAATTGATAGTTTTGTTATTTTCTGATGCTTATCATTATTTTCTGCAGTATTTATACTTTAGTAACTGTATCCAACTATCTATTCTACAATTTTACACTAATCCACAAGTTTTACACTAATTTGTTATCCCATGCAACGTTTTAATTAGCTCTATAGTGCTTATAGTGCATACTCGAAGTTCTTGGATCTAAGAAATTAATATCTAAAGGATCCTTTTTGGAATAATGGAAACTTTTAACATATTTTCAACGGTGAATCGGTCCACACGCACAACTTCCTATGGTGGAGCAACTCTACCATAGGTTATGTCTCCTTTAGGATATGATCGAATTAATGTTCATATTCATAATCTATATTGTTATACATATACATATAACGGACCCGAAAAAATATCTGAAAGCTCACTACCTAGATTCAAACTATTGGATATTAATAGGGGTTCACATAGTGTTTCTTACAACATTCCTACCGTTTGTTTCAAAATATCTAGAAAGTGGATTACGTTTATGCGATGTGAATGGATCAAGTTGTGTAGTGGAGTGAACAGGTTGGCAAATCCGGACTGATACATCCAATCAATGTAATTTTCTTACAAAAATGTCTCACCATGTATATGTAATCTTATGTACCGAACACAAAGGTATAACCTATGTAGTATTTATTGTGTTCAAAAAAAAAAACCTATGTGGTATTTATATATACATGAACATTAAAACCTTTAATATTTTTATAAGGTACTCATAAACTTACTCAACAATTCAGATTATTTGAGTTTTAATTAAGTATTTCATTATAAAATATCATACAGAATTTTTTTTTGTTAAATAAAAATGTACAATTTTAAAGTTTCGATTTGGTCCATAGGTTTCTAACAAGTTAACATCATTATGTGACCTTACCTTATGTCACATGCTGGACCTCACTAGTCACTACTATTTCCACTCAGATGCCCCAATATTGCATACATAATTAGAACTTGATTGGTCTAATTTTCTCAACAAAAAAACTTGATTGGTTTAAATGCAATAGATGTGAATGCAGATATGAAACTCGTCCTGTTGCAGTTTAATTGGTAAAATTATGTGATTAATATACCAACTTAAAACAGATGTATTTGCACAATATTTTTTTGATTAGTTGAAATTGAAACAGGTACAATAACAATTTAAACTAAAACTGACAAAAAAAAATTATCATGAATATGTATTTTCATTATTTTTTTCCATGCATATGCCTATTAGGGATTAAAGTCCAATATCGGTCGTTGGAAGGGATCTCTAGCAATATATAAGATAGATGGACCACTCCATTTATCACCAATTGTTTTTAAGTTGGAAGCCCATTCACCTTAATATTATATCAGAGCCCATAATCCATGCAATCCAAACTGATCCTTATAGATACAGCCCAAAGTCGGCCCATCGATCATTACCCGAACATTTCAAGATTGACGCCAAAAACCATCATCTTGAGGGGGCGTACTAGGGACTAAAGTCCATTGTTGGAAGGGATCTCTAGCAATATATAAGATATTATTGTAAGTTGTAACTATGAATTTTTTTTTGGGTCAACAAGATATTATACATTTAACAAGGCCTTCTAAGGATGTCAAAAGAAAAACAAGGCTTTCTAAGCTAGAAAAAGTGTTTACAACCCACCAAAACATGTTGTATAATTCGACCCGGCCCATTTCTAATTTTAATCCTCACCTAAGATAATCAAAGCTCATTGATTGACCTCTATGCATGGATTATTATCCATAACCAAAAGAAAATTCCCAAGTGTGGAGAAAAATATCCTGCCACCACAAGTTTTCTGAAAACGAAATTTATTTATTTATCTAAACCTACCAAAAACAAAACAAGTGTCAAATAAAAAAAATAAAACAACCACTAAAACCGCGACACGTACCTAAAACCCTTGTCAAACACACAGTTTCATAACAGAGTGATCTCTCTCCTCTCTCTCTCTCTCTCTCTCTCTCTCTCTCGGTCTCGATTTCTGATTTCTCACTGTACGACCAAAACTAAACCACTCACACACATATAAGAGCAGGCAAATTTAATTGATCTGTATCTGAAGACTTAGAAAAACCATGTCTTGTTTGGGTAGGATCTTGTCTGTTTCCTACCCACCAGATCCTTACGGTTCACGTTTCTCAGTTTCAAAGCTGTCTTCACCAGTGAGGCCAAACCAGAGGTTGAGATGGCGTGTCACGGCCTTGGACTCAGATTCTGATTCTTCTGACAAATTCGCTGATGGGTAAATCAAATTAAGCTTCTTTAAATTGATGTTTTTGTTATGCCCATTAGAGTTGAATCAGTAAAGTTAGAGACTTTGGAATATAATCGTTTTGTATAATCAGATTAGGCTCTGCCCATTAGAGTTGGATTAGTAAAGTTAGAGACTTTGGAGTTTAATTGTTTTAAAGTTTCTATTTTTTTTTTTGGGTGCAGCTTTTGTATAATAGAAGGACCTGAAACAGTACAGGACTTTGCTAAAATGCAATTACAAGAGATTCAAGATAACATTAGAAGCAGACGAAACAAGATTTTCTTGCACATGGAAGAGGTTTTAGTTAGTTTCTTTAAGTGGAAACCTTTTTTATTAATTAGTTTCTTAAAGTGTCTTCCTCTATAGGTACGGAGGCTAAGAATACAACAAAGGATTAGAAACACAGAACTTGGCATAATAGACGAAGAGGAAGAACATGAGTTACCTAACTTCCCGTCTTTTATTCCATTCTTGCCTCCATTGGTAAAGTAATTAAACACTTTCTTTAGAGGGTTTGGTGTGTTTTGTATAATATTTTGATCATGAAGACATTTTCATTTTTGCAGACTGCTGCCAATTTGAGAGTCTATTACGCGACTTGTTTCTCACTCATTGCTGGGATCATCCTCTTCGGTGGCCTACTAGCTCCTACTGTAAGCCCCTGTATTTAACAAAATAATGTTATTTTGAAAAGTGTCATTTTACAATTTTAATACAATTTATACTTACTTTAAATTAAATATTTAATTACAAAATGCATTGATCTTATAAGTAATTTTATTTATCTCAAATAGTATGGTTAAATAAATGTAGTTTAGGTTAGTTTTTTTTTTGAAAGAATGTTAAATTAATTCGAACAAAAAAACTGTTTACAACTAAAGTTGCTTGTTTTAAGATCACAAGAAATAGAAAACTAGATTTACATCAAAGCAAAGGTCATCTAAAGGAGAACCAAATCCCCATAGCTCCTTTGTAAGCTGAGTTGTGGCGATGGTTGATGCTTGAGATACGATTTCGAACTTGTTTATCAATGATTTTTGTAAGCCCCGTCGTAGTCGTAGTTTAGGTTAGTTTATAAGACATAAATGCATTTCAATCATTTTCTCAATCCGTGTGAAAGGGAGTATTACTTTGTCTTTTGTAACATAGTTTTCATTTGTAACTTATGCAGCTAGAGCTAAAGCTTGGTATAGGAGGCACATCGTATAAAGATTTCATTCAGAGCCTTCATCTACCTATGCAATTGAGGTTTAATGACATCTCTCTATATATGCATTTGCGGCTTTGTAGAAAGGATGCTTAATTTTGTGTGTGTTTGACTTCAATGACAGTCAAGTAGATCCAATAGTTGCCTCCTTCTCTGGAGGAGCTGTTGGTGTGATCTCAGCGTTAATGGTAGTTGAAGTCAACAATGTAAAGCAGCAAGAGCACAAGAGATGCAAATACTGTCTAGGAACTGGTATTATACTTGTTCATGCTTGTTGATAAAGAGGTTTAGATTTTTGGTTTTAATAACTTTTTCTGATGTAACAAAACAGGGTATCTAGCATGTGCTCGTTGCTCAAGCACAGGTGCTCTCGTTATAGCTGAACCAGTCTCAGCTATTGCTGGAGGGAATCATTCTGTATCAACATCCAAAACCGAAAGATGTTCAAATTGTTCTGGTGCTGGAAAGGTAAAACCATTAAAAAACAAAAAACCTAAGATGAGGATGCTAAATTGTATGTGTGTTGTTGTTCAGGTGATGTGTCCGACATGTCTGTGCACAGGAATGGCTATGGCTAGCGAGCATGACCCTCGGATTGATCCCTTCCTTTGAATCTTCAAGACAGTCCACTCCCCCATAAATGTATTTGTCATTGTAACTAAAAATTGGTATGTATGTACTGATGAATAATGAGAACTGCGCATCCTTTCATCTGTATATACACATACAATGACACAAATGGAAGTTATTACATAGTGTTAGTTTTGTCTTCTCAAAACAACATAGCTACATTGTAAGACTCTAAAGCTCATAACGGTCCACAACTCCAGAGTGCTTCACTTGTACCTAATCAGATATATAGAGAGAAACTAAAGAGAAGCCAAACAAAAACACTCTGTTTCTAGGTGATATGTGGCTTAGAGTTAAGCACACTACTTAGTCTTCACTAATCTTATGTAGACATTGTTACTTCTTCAAGCTCCAATACTAGCTTACTTCCATGAAAATTTTATTAAAACTCATATGAAAAGTACATTACAAAGGTTTGGTTTGGTAGGGCATAACCAAATTATACAATTGAAAGAGACAAAGACTATATGTCCAAACACAGTTAGCCCAAGGAAGGAAGAACTGGAAATTTATTTTAAAGGAAACAAAGAGTCCCTAGTGCCCATTCTCATGGCCATTGTCTGAGCTCTCAAGTATATCTTGAATAAACTTAATGAAAGAGCAGAGACCACCAAAGAAGTTATGATCAATAACACCATTCCCATCAAGAACATGAGCAAAATCCACCAGCTTCACTTGCGCCCTCCTCTCATCATCACCCCCTGATTCATTCTCATAAACCATCAAAACCGAGCAAGAGTTGAAATGGTAAAGCGTTTGAGTCTCAAACCAAGCCTTAAGCTCCAACAACTGCTTCAAAATCCCATTAGACCCACCATAAACTTCCGACGCAAATGCACAGTCAGGTACCGCGTCATCATCGAGCGAGTTCGACGAAACAAACTTCCTTAAAGCCATTCTAGCACCATCGACTTTATACGCAAGAACAACCCTCTTGTCCGGTCTCCAAAACCCGGACACCTGATGGTCGAAAATCTTTAAACCCGAAACCCTAAACCCCAAAGAAACCGTCGTAGTCGCCATATCTTTCTTTATACATTTGTTGAAATACTCTTCAGACACATCAGGGTACCAAGTCCTAGACCCAATCTTCACATCCATAACAGAAGGCTTCACATAACCAGAGACAACATCTTCAAGAACCAAATGTGGAAGCTCGCCTGATCCATCAGATGCTTCAACTTGCTGAACTCCGTGGTAAACAGGGAAGTAGCCACGGATGTGATCAGGGACATTCTTGTTGGAGGTGAAGGACTCGTAGAACTTGGCTTCGTTTTCGCCACGTGCGTCTCCTTGAAGTGGCTTGTAGAACCGACCTTGGTCGTCTATGAGTGGACCTAGCTTCCCATCTTTGGCTATGTGACCTGCTACTTGGTGTTCAGGGACCTTTAGCATCTTTTCTGCAACACAACAAAATAGATTTCACCAAATCAGACAGAGGACTGTAAAGTTTAATCAGAAGGAGAAACACATATAAACCAAACGCAGAATCCAGATACGTCGTCGTTTCTTAACAGATTATCATGTTTATCAGAGAGTTCATAGAGATCATCGGAGAATAAAGAGGAAATGAAACAAAGACAGAATCATATTCATGCAAATATAAAATAAAATTGAAATCTCTAGAAAGTGAAAAGCGTATTGTAAAGTTGTAACTTTCGGATTAAAATAAGCAGTGGATGAAAAGGTACGATCTTTTGTTAATTGAGTTTCGAGAAAGACGAAGAACTTTAGCCTTAGAGATTAAACGATTAATCAAAGGACATTGAGGAAGAAAAATATTACCAAAGAAATCTTCACGGAGAGAGAATCAAACAAATGAACAAAGACAGAGAACAAGAAGTTGTGTGATTGTTGTAATGAAAATATAAGCTATCATGTCGGTAAGACGAATAACTGAATCAATTCGTTTATGCAAATGGTCGAAATACTAAACCGGACTAAAAATTTATGAAAACCGGGTTTTAGAGAACCGGTTTGGATTTTTTTTTGGGTGTAATTGTTGTAATGAAAAAATTGCTAAGCTGTCCCTGTCTTGTCGGGAATACGAATAACTGAATCAATTCGTTTATGCAAATTAGGCCTGGGATTTTTGTCCTAACCGAATGGGCCGAACCGCACCGAACCGGTTTTTTTCGGTTTCGGTTCGGTTTTCATTTTGGTTCAGTTCGGTATGGTTTTAAAAATTAATTCGGTTTTCGGTTCGGTTCGGTTCGGTTCGGTTTTCGATTTTAAAAAAAAAATGTTAAAAACCGAAAATAACCGATAATATCCGAAAATAACCAAAAAAACCGAATCAAAAATAACCGAATTTAATCGAAAATATTCGAATATTTTGGAAAAATTATACCAAAGTTAACCGAAAACTTAAAAATTCGGTTATTTCGGAAATAAAATTGAAAACCGAACCGAAATTTCATTCGGTTTATTTCGGAATTTGTTTAAAAAAATTTCGGTTAACCGAAAACCGACGGTTCGGTTCTGTTTCGGAAAACCGAAGTCGCAGGCCTAATGCAAATGGTCGGAATATCAAAGCAGATTAATGATGAGACAATTTATCAAACCCGGTTTTAAAGCAAACCGGTTTGATTTTTTAAATTATTTGTTAACCGGTTTGATTTTTTTATAATTATTTGTTAACCGGTTTTGAGTATATAGGGGGCTTAATCATCTGATGATCTTCACAAATTTGCCGTCATCTTCTACCTCCGGCTAGCGAAGTTAGGGTTTAGGTAATGATTTCTAATTCGATTGCATTCTTTGATTATGGTTTTTGTAAAGTCCCTAACTTTAGAGCTCATGTAACATAAATTTATCTTCTTTGTGTATTCCAGAAGCTTTGCTGATAAGAAGCTAATGGCTCGTTTCAAAAACGTAAGTGTAAACACTTCTCTGTTAAGTTTCTTAGCTTTTAATGATATGTGTTCTTATGTGTTTTTGTGATGATATATAGAATAAGAAGGGTAGAGTCAATGTGAAGCCTATTGCTATGAAGAAGAACAATCAAGCCAACGTTGATCATGTTACTGGTGATAAGATCCCAAAAAGCTTCGTCTTTTCGAGGACGAAGCTTCCTGGCTCTGTTAAACAGCTTCAGATGGATTTGAGGAAGCTCATGCTTCCCTACACTGCTCTCAGTCTTAAGGTAAAGGTTTTTAATATTGAGTTTTAACCATTACTGATGCAAAAGTTGTGACCTTTTTTTTTTATTCACAGGAGAAGAAGAGGAACACTTTAAGAGACTTTTTGAATGTATCAGGACCAATGGGTGTGACTCATTTCCTTATGCTTAAAAAAACAGCTTCTGCATTGTCTCTAAGAGTAGCAAGAACCCCTCAGGGTCCTACTCTAACGTTCAAAATTCATCAGTATTCGTTAGCTTCGGATATAGCTCAGTCTCAGACACGGCCTAGATGTCCTCCTGATCTTTTCAAGAACCCTCCTTTGATTGTTCTTTCTGGATTTGGCACTCAAGAGCTGCATCTGAAGCTAGCAACGATCATGTTTCAGAACATCTTCCCATCTATTGATATCAACACAGTAAGTTTGTTTGTGTTTTTTTAATTATTGGTTGTAAGCTTGTTTCAGCTTATTTGATTATGTTGTGTTATGTCAGGTCAAACTCTCTACATGTCAGAGATTAGTACTATTGAACTACAACAAAGACACAAAACTAATTGATTTCAGGCATTATTCTATAAGGCTTCAGCCTGTTGGAGTCTCTCGTAGGATCAGAAAGTTTGTGCAAAGTCATGATGTTCCTGATCTTAGAAATCTACAGGATGTTAGTGATTTTATCACCAAGTAAGAATCAGTAATTTGATTCCTCTCAGTATGAATGTTGAAATGTTATCATTTTGATTGTTTTGGTGGGTTTTGTTTTTTTCAGGGCTGGTTATGGATCAGAGAGTGAAGGAGATGAAGAGGCGGCGACTGTGACATTATCATCTGATCTAGGCAGAGTTAACAAGGGTTCAACAAAGAGTGCAGTGAAACTGCAAGAGATTGGACCGAGGATGACTATGCAGCTAGTTAAAGTGGAGGAAGGGTTGTGTTCAGGAGGAATCATATTTGATGAATATGGTAAATTGCTCATCTTATCATCCCCCATATTTTTGTTTTTGATAAATCTTGTCAATCTTCTGATTTTGTGTTGTTTACATCGGTTTGTTTCAGAAAATGGGGATGAGAAGATAGCCAAGAAGAAGCAAGATGAAGATGGTGATAGCAAAGAAGAAGAAGAAGGGGAAGAGGGTAGTGAAGAAGATGAAAACGAAGAAGAAGGTGAAGAGAGTAGTGAAGAAGATGGTGAAGACATGGATGAAGATCTTGAAGATTGACACTTGAGATAAAGCAAGTTTTGTTCTATTATAACTGTGTTACTCTATAACTCTGTGTCTTTAGATGAGAAAATTTTGCTCTTTGAATCTCTAAATTTATTTGACCAAAAAAAGAAACTCTAAATTTATAAAGAAAAAAGTATCAACTCTTGAAATAAAGAGATGAAGCTGAAATAACTATATGTTTTAGATTTATTTACAATGTCACATAAAACTTAAAAGTTTCCTGTGTGAATGATCTAACTAACACAAGACAAGATAAACATGATAGGAATTATTGAGTTCAGTGAACAGAGATGACTATTCAAATCGAATGAATCTTACAATGTAAAATGTTTCCAATTAGTGGAAACTAAACGATAAAATAAGAGTTTTGTAGCGATGAGCAAATAACAGTTTGATCCAAAATACAGCATGATTTCTATCTTTTTATAGACTACAGCAGAAAACACAAATAATATCAAAAACTCTTTTGTTCTCTCAATTCTAAAACAACTTTCCTAATTATCACGTCTGGGTTGCCTTTTGCGTGGAGCAGCTGTCTCTTCCTTCTTCTCTGACTCATCTCCACTCTTTGAGCTCTCTCCCACTTCTGGTTTCTTCTTCTCCACAGTTGCAGCCGGCGCCGCCTGTAACAAACCATTTTTTAATTTCTTTTAGCTTTTTCACTTTGAATGCCAAGAAAGTTACAGAGGAAACATTACCTTTTTGCCACCGAAGATAAGTTTGATGAAGAGCGAGAAGAATACTATGACAATGGAGACTAGGACACCAATGGTCAAGTTTGGTTGTTCCTCAGCTTTCTCAAGAAGTTCCTACAACACAACACCATTTTCAAAATCACTTAGATCTGAGTCATCATCATAACATGCAACAATGGTTAAGAACTAACTTACCGTGATCTTAGACTTGTAGGCACTTAGGAAAGAAATGTCTGCAACCTTGTGCAACAGGTCGAACACAACCTTCTGCAATATCATTCACAGAAAATTTAAACGTTAATATATAAATACATACTAACAAAACTTTGATTCTGTTGGTAAATCAGTATTACCTGGTAGCTCTTGAGACCATCTGCAGATTCAGCAGCTTTCTCTTCCGCCTTTTGTTTCTCTTTCTCAACATCAAACTTAGGCTTCCAAGTTGTCTGTCTGTAACTCTCAGCTACCTTCTCGTCTTTCGCTATCAAGATATTGTCAAACAAGATACCGTCTTGCATTGTCCAGATCTCTATACCGATAGCTGCAATGGGTTCGTAATCAGGTCTGTCTAGCTCAAAGTAGTCAGGGTTAGGGATGTCTCTAGGCTTCCAGATTCCCTTGTAAGCAGGGTTATCAATCATAGGTGCACTCCATTTGCCCTTGTAAGCAGGGTTCCTCTTCATCGGTCTCTTCCATTCACCGCATCCTGGTGCTGCTTCACACTTGGGGTTGTCGATCTTTGGTGCCTCCCACATACCATCTTCCTCATCATCCCAATCTTCAGGTTTGGTTGCCTCTGGGTCGTCGACTTCCTCAGGCTCATCGTCTAACCATCCTTCAGGTTTCTCAGCTTCTTCATCTTCGATCTCCATGGGTGCGTCCTCGTCCCAGTCGTCAGGCTTGACAGCGTTAGGGTCAGGGATCTTGGCTCTCTCATCCCAGTCTTCTGGTTTCTTGTCTTCAGGGTCAGGGATGGTCTTGTCAGGGATCAAAGCAGGCTCAAAGTCTTCTCCAGAGAGTAAGTTAGCCTTCTTCTTCTCCTCTCCATCAACCAAAATTCTAACCTCATTGTCTGGCTTCAAGATGGCAGTGTAGACATGGGAAAGCTTGTCAAAAGGAACAGAAGGAGGGAACTTCAAATGATGCTCAACGTACTCCCCACTCTTGGGATTCTTATGCTTCAAGATTAAATGAACTTTGTTTGTAGCTCCACACTTGTCAGGCCCAAACATAATAGAGTAAGGAGATTCACTATCAAACCCTTCAGGTGTCCATCCAGCTTCTTGAGGACGGAGGTATTTCAAGTAAGCACCACCACACTCAAGCCCTTCCTGAAAACGAACCTCGTACTGAAGAACAATGGTTCCATCCTTGAGGTTTAGTGGCTCATCAAGAACTTTCACTATACCATACTTACGAGCCTTCTCGCTTACAAGAAGTCCATAATCATCATGTCCTTCACTCTTCTCATGCTTCCACACACCTGAAAAATGATAAAAGTAGTCTTAACAAAGAAGCTTCCATGCAAAATTGAGAGAAATGCTCAACAACAAAAGCAAGATTCAAGTGTTAACTAAACACACAAAAACATGCATATGCTCTAGTCCCTAGGCAAATCTGTGTATAACCAGCAAAACTACTACTACTCCCTCCGTTTCAATTTAATTGTCATTCTAGAATTTTGCACACAGATTAAGAAAACAATTAATTTTACATATTTTCAAAATAAAACACAATTACCTATACAACTAACCACTTTTCAACCAATGAAAAATTAGAATAACATTTAAAATCAATAAATTTTGCATTAAAATTATAAAACGGCACTTAATTTTACTCTAGAATGACATATAATTTGAAAAGGAGGGAGTACTAAATAAGATTTTGCATTATAAGATCAAACCATTCACCATCATAACGTGAGATGATGAATTAAACTACTACTAAGTCAGATTTGATTCATCTATATGTTGAGTGCAACACATTACAACTCAGTTGATTTCAAACTTTCACATCAACATTCTCAGATTCGATTCCTCTATTCAAATTCCTAACAAACACGCAGATCTGAGAAAACACTATACAAACAGTGAGAGTGAACAGATTACACAACAATACCTCCGTAATCGCCATTCTTCGAAACGATCCAACGACCATCAAACGCCTCATCGAACGATTCATACAACACCTGGAACAACGTAAAATCAACGAAACTCAGATCTAAATCTTCAGATCTACAGAGAAAACGGAAATTACCGTTTGATCGTCGTCGTCACAGTAGCAAAGCTTCTGGAGCGAAACGAAAGCTAGGATAAGCAAAACGGCGGAGATTAGTTGCCGGTCTCTCATCATCGGAAATCTTAACGTTGGTTCACCGGAGAAATGAGCAGCGGATGTAATTTACCAGTTTCGATGAATAATAATTTATATATATTCAATCCCGTAGACTCGGTCGAGTGTTTCAATCTGTTGTTTCCACCAATGAAATGGTTCGCCACGCGATTGTGGCGAATGATACGACGCCACGTCGGTTTAAAATGAGCTTACCTACGTGCGTAGTTACACGTGCGCATTTACGGCTAGTTTAAGATTGTTATTGGGCTGGGCCTACTAAAGAACTTAGACTATTATCCGCAGGACTTTTTTTTGTCCTTAAATTTTTTTTTTATTTAAAGAAAAAAATTAAAAATTAAAAACCGGTCAATTGCGTACTGCCATATGTCATTGGGATCTGTAAAAAATTTGGGACAAAGTTTGAGATATTGCTTATTTAGGGATAAAAGAAAAGGGTTTTTTACCAAAAATTGGTGGATCTCAGAGCATCATTATCCCAGCAACCCAAAATTAGGTTGCTTATTATTATTTTTTTTTTGAAAAAAAAAAAATTAAAATAAAAAAAAAAACTAATCACGGGTTGCTACGTGTCAGTGGAACCCGCAAACAATGCAAGCAATACCCCAAATCAGTTGTTTATTTAAGCAAAATAGTAATTGGTTGCTTGTGTTTTTGATAGGGTCCACACACAAAAAGTGGCTAAACAACCCACCAAAAACATGGGATAATAGTGCTCTCATGCCAAAAGTTAAGAACCATGACTAAAGATACCAATAAAGTTGCTCTTAAGAATTTAATGGAACAAGAGTTTCGAACTCTAATATGTATATATATATGCAATTCAAAATTTTCTATGTTTCGTTGTAATTTAATTTAGTTTTTATTTACTTATTATGTATTACAAAAATTTGAAAATTATTTAATCGACAATTATATATTTCTACTACCATAATTCTGCTTTATTTTACGTATGTATTATCAACTAGGTGTTGTGCCCGCCTTGCGGGCATAATCTTCTTACGGATGTAACTCAACATAATAAACTATTATTTATGCTTTCTCACATATTAGAAATATTCGGAAAAAAATATCATTATACAAATTTAATTGATTAATTACATTTATATTTATTTTTGTAATAAAATAATATTATTTTCAGATAACAACACAATATCTATAAAACTTATCTTATTTTTGTAATATGTATTTATTTTGACAATTATCATATTAATGTTTAATCAAATTTTTAATTTTTGTAATAGAAAAATATTATTTCAAGATAACAACACCATATCTATAAGAATTATCTTATTTTTGTAATGCGTATTTATTTTGACAATTATCATATTGATTTATAATCAATAATCTAATATAACATATAAATCTAATATTATTATTATAANTAATGTGTATTTATTTTGACAATTATCATATTGATTTATAATCAATAATCTAATATAACATATAAATCTAATATTATTATTATAAATTCGTTTTTAATTATATATAAAATTCATTAAGGGTAAAATAGATATTAACCGCTCTAACTTTTAACGTGGAAGCTCCATTGCGAAAAATCACTTCGCAAATAATAGTATAGATTCATCAATTCAATATTAGCATTATTCTTCTCAACAATATAGCTAGAGGTCTTTTCCAATCTCGCCATACATAAAACCCTCTTTTTTCTTTTTTGTTTTTTTTTTAACTTGTACGTCACATAATACACGAGAATTAAGCTTGCCCATTTCATTGTTTCGCCATGCATAAAACGTAACGTACATCATTCTCTCAGCATGCAGTTATTTCAATACTGAACGTACGTCATTTACTCTTGCTACTATTAATTTTCGTAGAAATGGGTGTATTCCCTCGATTTGGTAGCTGGATCAATCAGAAAAGTCAACAGCTTCTTAAGGTCAGCTTCATATCCATCAGTCATAGGACCAGAAGCTGTCCAATTTAATTACAAACACATTTTATTCTGTTTGTTGTATGTAGGCCGAGTCCAAGAGATCTAAAAATGTCGACTCAGAGGAAGACAATTTTAAATTACCTGATGAGGAATATTTATATCCTGATTTAAAGGAGGTGCTGAAGCAACGCGAACTTTGGCGTGAAGCAGAGCAAAATCATCCATGGCATAATGCATCGCCTAAGATCAAAGTATACAATATTCATATCTTTTCTTTTTGCCTTGGTAACAACGATCCTTAAAAAAGGTCTAATGTTTTTGATGTTTGAAGGTGACACGTGAAAATGGTTTTTACCATATGCACATAGAATTAACCGTAGGGCTGGATCCTGATTCGGTCTACTTCTTTTTGACTGATCCAGAAAGCGGTCCATTTCAGAGTTTGAACAAGAATCGCAAACTTATGGTTTCTTTTTCTAATCATTAAATGATTTCAATGTGGTATATAATTAATAAGATACAAAAATAATACTTGAGACTGTTTTTTTTTTCTTGATGAAGAAAAACAAATCAAGAAAGATTTTGTTTGAGAATGGTCCGAGGCAAATTACGAGGGTGGAGAAATCTGTGGTTTGTAACGTATTGGGGCTGTATATACCTATATCGATGCATCTAATCCTCGATGAAAACAGAAAAGATCTTATGGTAAAAAGCTTCTCTCACATAATCAACGCTTTTGTTTATTTGTATTGGTAAAACCTAATTAATCTCTTTTTGCTTATTGTGTTGGAGGACAGACACAATATAAGAAAGAGAGAGTGATATTTATGAAAGAATTCAAGGGTAACTATAAAGTGGAGCCTGTATTTGTAGATAAAGAACGTTTGTGCAAAAAGAAGATACCAATGACTCGAGAAGAGTATAAAAAATGTAGTGGTGGCAAAGGAAAGATTGCCTCAAAACTGACAGTAGACCAATTCTATAAGCCATATCCTCCTTTCAACCTACCGCCGCTTTCTTGGTTAATCCGTGGGCTCACCATCAAAACCTCTAAAGCTCTGCTTGCACTGCTTCAGGACACGACTACTAGATTTCGAACGGCTGCTTGAAAATTAACAATACTCTCAATAGTATAAGAGCACCTCCAATGGTGTTAGACATCCGTAATAGCGGTCCTTAGCGGGAAGTCCTTAAGAAAAAAATAATTAAATAATTAGTGGACCCCATTAAAAGTTAAGGATTCTGTCCAAAAAATCCTTACGTAAGGATTCTTTTTAATGAATCTTTACATGTGGCAACCTCTGATTCGTTGATTTTTTTTTTAATCTGAAAACAAACTAATAATTAAAAATTTAAAAAACATTTTTCCTAAGGACTCCAAAGGAGTACACCATTGCGGATGGTCTTACTACCATTGGAGTCCTTAGCCATTAAAAAATTAATTATTATTTTTTTTAGAAAAATTAAGGATTCTAGTACAATATGTGTGTCCAATGGTGTTATTCATTATGGAGTCATTATAAATTTAAAATTGTAAAACATTTAAATTTAAAATTTTTATTTATTGAATGATTAAATTTAAACATACAATAATTATACATCATCATCATTATCAAACTTGTTTCAAATATTTGTAAATCTGTTTATTAAGAAAAGATATAATAATAAAATTCAAATTCAGTCTTCAAAAATAAAACATATATTTTAGCGTGTCAAAAACATATGAAATAATATATTATAAGGAACAGATGGAGGGAACTTGAGATGGTGCTCAAAACAAGATGTGAATTTACGTGCATATTATCACTTATTCATCAATCTAATATAAGAGCAGTATTCTTTACAACAAGATAGCTAGAAGTCATTTTTCGCAACGAATCTCTCACGTTAAAAATTAAGTGGTTAAGCATGTATGTGTGGACAAAACACCTAGTTACTTATTATGTATTACAAAACTTTGAAAATTATTTAATCGACAATTCTACATTTCTACTACCACAATTCTGCTTTATTTTACGTATATATAATCAATTCATCAATTCAATACATAATTCTTCACAACAATATAACTAGAGCTTAGAGGTCTTTTTTCCCTGCACTTGCCTGGTCGTTACGTTGCTCTTACCAATCTCGCCATACATAAAACTTTTTTTTTTAACTTGTACGTCACATATACACGAGAATTGAGCTTGCCCATTTCATTGTTTCGCCATGCATAAAACGTAACGTACAATCATTCTCTCAACATGCAGTTTTTTTAATACTGAACGTACGTCATTTACTCTTGCTACTATTAATTTTCGTCGTGAGGCTAAACTTTCGAATAGAAATGGGTTTATTCCCTCGATTTAGTAGCTGGATCAATCAGAAAAGTCAACAGCTTCTTAAGGTCAGCTTCATATCCATCAACCATAGGACCCGAAGATGTCCAATATATATTTATATAAACACATTTTGTTCTGACGTTGTATGTAGGCCGAGTCCAAGGGATCTAAAAATGTCGACTCAAAGGAAAAGAATTTTAAATTACCTGATGAGGAATATATATATCCTGATTTAAAGGAGGTGTTGAAGCAAGACGAACTTTGGCGTGAAGCAGAGAAAAAGCATCCATGGCATAATGCATCGCCTAAGATCAAAGTATAGAGATATATATCACCCCAAACAAAACAAAACAAAAATCAACATTCATATTTTATTTTATTTTTGCCTTGGTAGCAAAGATCCTTAAAAAAGTTCTCATGTTTTTGATGTTTGAAGGTGACACGTGAAAATGGTTTTTACCATATGAACATAGAATTGACCGTAGGGATGGATCCTGATTCGGTCTACTTCCTTTTGACTGATCCACAAAGCGGTCCATTTCAGAGTTTGAAGAACTACAAGAATCCCAGACTTATGGTTTCTTTTTCTAATCATTAAATGATTTCAATGTGGTATATAATTAATATGATACAAAAATAATACTTGAGACTGTTTTTTTTTCTTGATGAAGGAAAACAAATCAAGAAAGATTTTGTTTGAGAATGGTCCGAGGCAAATTACGAGGGTGGAGAAATCTGTGGTTTGTAAAGTATTTGGGGTTTATATACCTATCTCGATGCATCTAATCTTCGATGAAAACAGAAAAGATCTTATGGTAAAGAAGCTTCTCTCACAAGAATCAACACTTTTGTTTATTTGTATTGGTAAAACCTAATCTCTTTTGCTTATTGTGGTGGTGGACAGACACAATATAAGAAAGAGAGAGTAATATTTATGAAAGAATTCAAAGGTAACTATAAAGTGGAGCCTATATTTGTAGATAAAGAACGTTTGTGCAAAAAGAAGACACCAATGACTAGAGAAGAGTATAAAAAATGCAGTGGTGGCAAAGGAAAGATTGCGTCAAAACTGACAATAGACCAATTCTATAAGCCATATCCTCCTTTCAATCTACCGCCGCTTTCTTGGTTAATCCGTGGGCTCACCATCAAAACCTCCAAATCTCTGCTTGCACTGCTTCAAGACGCGGCTACTCTATTCCGAACGGCTGAACTCAATTCACCTCCCAGTGAAGACAGCGAGTAACAAACATGAAAGATACTAGCCTCAACGAACATGCACAAATACATGTTTTAAAAATTAACAATACTCTCAATAGTATAAGAATACAATCAAACAAAAAATGATCAAAATATGTAAATCTGTTTATTAAGAAAATATATAATAATAATAAAATTCAAATTCAGTCTTTAAAATAAAACATATATTTTAGCGTGTCAAAAACATATGAAATATTAATTATATTATAAGGAACAGAGGGAGGGAACTTGAGATGGTGCTCAAAACAAGATATGAATTTACGTGTATATTATCACTTATTCATCAATCTAATTTAAGAGCAGTTTTTCTCACAACAAGATAGCTAGAGGTCATTCTTCTCTTCACTTGCCTGATCGTTACGTTGCTCTTACCAATCGTAAAACTTGTGTACGTCACAAAATACACGAGAATTGAGCTTTGCCTACTTCATTGTTTCGCCATGCATAAAACGTAACGTACATCATTCTCTCAACATGCAGTTATTTTTATAAACGTCATTTACAATCTTGCTACTATTAGTTTTCGTCTTGAGGCTAAACTTTCGAATAGAAATGGGCGTGTTCCTTGGATTTGGTAGCTGGATCAATCAGAAAAGTCAACAGCCTCATAAGGTCAGTTTCATATTCATCAATCATAGGACCCGAAGATGTCAAATTTCATTATAAACACATTTTATTCTGTTTGTTGTATGTAGGCCGAGTCCAAGAGATCTAAAAATGTGGACTCAGAGGAAGACAATTTTAAATTACCTGGTAAGATCTATTATAATTTAAATGAGGCGCTGAAGCAACTGGATCTTTGGCGTGAAACAGAGAAGAAGCATCCATGGCATAATGCATCTCCTAAGATCAAAGTACAAGAAAAATATCACCACCCCAAACAAAACAAATACAATATTCATATCTTTTTTTCTGCCTTGGTAGAATCAAGAACAAAGATCTATATAAAAAGTTCTCATGTTTTTGATGTTTGAAGGTGACACATGAAAATGGTTTTTACCATATGAACATAGAATTGACCCTAGGGCTGGATCCTGATCCGATCTACGAGTTTTTGACTGACCCAACAACCGCTTCATTTGAGAGTATGGGCAAGAGGCGCGGACTTATGGTTTCTTTTTCTAATATCATTAAATGATTTCAGTGTGGTATATAATAAGATACAGCAATAATACTTGAGACTGATTTTTTTTTTTTTCTTGATGAAGGAAAACAAATCAAGAAAGGTATTGTTTGAGAATGGTCCCAGGCTAATTACGAGGGTGGAGAAATCTGTGGCTTGTAACGTATTTGGGGTGTATATACCTATCTCGATGCATCTAATCCTCGATGAAAACAGAAAAGATTATATGGTAAGAAGCTTCTCTCACAGGAATCAACACTTTCGTACGTATTTGTATTGGTAAAACCTAATCTCTTTTGCTTATTGTGGTGGAGGACAGACACAATATAAGAAAGAGAGAGTGATATTTATGAAAGAATTCAAGGGTAACTATAAAGTGGAGCCTGTATTTGTAGATAAAGAACGTTTGTGCAAAAAGAAGATACCAATGACTCGAGAAGAGTATAAAAAATGTAGTGGTGGCAAAGGAAGGATTGCGTCAAAACTGACAATAGACCAATTCTATAAACCATATCCTCCTTTCAACCTACCGCCGCTTTCTTGGTTAATTCGTGGGCTCACCATCAAGACCTCCAAATCTCTGCTTGATGTGCTTCAGGAGACGACTAATGGATTTCGAACATGAAAAAACACTAGCCTCAGTGAACATACACAGATACATGTTCTATTATATGGGTTTCTCCAACGTAGAATTCTGTAAAAGTATCTGATAATTAAAAAGAAAGAAAGAAAGAAATTAGAAATTAAGTGAAAAACTAAGAGCAGGTCCTCATCTGGCACACCCGAAGAACCCAAGTTGAACCTCTACTTCTACGTGCCACCATTTTAGCTACTTTAAGTTATCTAATTTAAGTTTAAAATTATTTTTCTAATTAATATTTACTTAAATAATATTAGTTGTTTGCTCGCAATTTTACACGTGGTTATATTAATATAATGGTCGGTAGTTTTTTATCTTCAGGATCTTTTGTAAACCTTTTTGTGTGGACTTAAAAAAAATAAAAAAATTCTAATAATTCTTTACCTACAAATCTAATTCCTTTATATAAGAATACATAACCATCAACTTTATTTCTTCCCTGCACTTGCCTGGTCGTTACGTTGCTCTTACCAATCTCGCCATACATAAAACTTGTACGTCACATAACACACGAGAATTGAGCTTGCCCACTTCATTGTTTCGCCATGCATAAAACGTAACGTACATCATTCTCTCAACATGCAGTTATTTCAATACTAAACGTACGTCATTTACTCTTGCTACTATTTGTTTTCCTGAGGCTAAACTTTCGATTAGAAATGGGTGTATTCCCTCGATTTGGTAGCTGGATCAATCAGGAAAGTCAACAGCTTCTTAAGGTCACCTTCATATCCATCAATCATAGGACCCGAAGATGTCCAATATATATTTATATAAACACATTTTTGTTCTGTTTTTTGTTGTATGTAGGCCGAGTCCAAGAGATCTAAAAATGTCGACTCAGAGGAAGACAATTTTAAATTACCTGATAAGGACTATCATGATATAAATGAGACGCGGAAGCAAGACGAACTTTGGCGTGAAGCAGAGAAAAAGCATCCATGGCATAATGCATCGCCTAAGATCAAAGTATAGAGATATATATCACCCCAAACAAAAATACAATATTTATATCTTTCTTTTTTTGCCTTGGTAGGATCAAGAACAAAGATCCTTAAAAAAGTTCTCATGTTTTTGATGTTTGAAGGTGACACATGAAAATGGTTTTTACCATATGAACATAGAATTGACCCTAGGGCAGGATCCTGATTCGGTCTACTTCTTTTTGACTGATCCACAAAGCGGTCCATTTCAGGATTTACACAAGAGGCGCAGACTTATGGTTTCTTTTTCTAATCATTAAATGATTTCAATGTGGTATATATATTAAATACAGCAATAATACTTGAGACTGATTTTTTTTCTTGATGAAGGAAAACAAATCAAGAAAGGTTTTGTTTGAGAATGGTCCAAGGCAAATTACGAGGGTGGAAAAATCTGTTGCTTGTAAGGTATTTGGGGTGTATATACCTATATCGATGCATCTAATTCTCGATGAAAACAGAAAAGATCTTATGGTAAAAAGCTTCTCTCACATAATCAACGCTTTTGTATTTGTATTTGTATTTGTATTGGTGAAACCTAATAAATCTCTTTTTGCTTATTGTGGTGGAGGACAGACACAATATAAGAAAGAGAGAGTAAGATTTATGAAAGAATTCAAGGGTAACTATAAAGTGGAGCCTGTATTTGTAGATAAAGAACGTTTGTGCAAAAAGAAGATACCAATGACTCGAGAAGAGTATAAAAAATGTAGTGGTGGCAAAGGAAAGATTGCGTCAAAACTGACAATAGACCAATTCTATAAGCCATATCCTCCTTTCAATCTACCGCCGCTTTCTTGGTTAATCCGTGGGCTCACCATCAAAACCTCTAAAGTTCTGCTTGCACTGCTTCAGGACACGACTACTAGATTTCGAACGTGAAAAACACTAGCCTCAGTGAACATACACAGATACTTGTTCTAAGGGCTTCTCCAACGTAGAGTCTTATAAGTATCTGACAATTAAAAATAAAGAACTAAATTAGAAATTAAGTGAAAAAACTAAGAGCAGGTCCTCATTTTATGTTTTAAAATATAAAAATATTTAATAACTTCTAAAAGTGATAAGTCATCTATGGTATCACATTGTCATTGTAAAATGATTGAATTTTAAAATTATATATTTTTGACTGTATACATTCATTTAACATATTTTAAGAATATATATATGTATGTATGTATATAGGGAATGAGTATTATTAGGTTTATATTAATTATTTTTCTGAAATCTATGATTTATTGTATTCATTACTAATATAAATATATTAAAAACTGTTTTATAACGGTTTATGTACTATCATAGGTATTTATAAGTATATTATCAACTTATATAATGTAATCTTTGATATTTAAATAACTATAAATAATTATGTTAATTCATATATATTTAAGATGTTTAATGGTGTTTTTGAAACATAGATTAGATTAATTAATTCTAGTTTTAGTTTCCTTTTAAAGATTTTAATTAAAAAATAAAATAAAAATAAAAATTCATCAACCAATCAACTTATAACATTTAAATGGAGAATTCTACTATGAGTGACACAGAAAACAATGAAGTGGCTTCTCAACTAAAATATAAGAGAATTGTTTCTTTTGTTAGAACTCTTTTTTTGGTATGTAATCCGTTAAGCTGCCCTAAAAACTAATAATTTTTTCAATAGTATAAGAATACAATCAAACAAAAAATAATTAAAATATTTACATCTATTTATTAAGAAAATATGTAATAATAAAATTTGAATTCAGCTTTAAAAATAAAATAAAAAAATATTTATTATATTAAACTTCAAAAATTATTTGTCTCTACAAAATTATGAGGCAAACACTAGTCTCAACGAACATGGCTTTTTAATTATTAGTTTTTCATGTTTAAAATAGGTATAAAATGAAAAATCTATCATTTAATCAAATTAAATAATTTTTGAAACTTCACCTATGAGATAAATAAGTTGTGAAAGCACCGTAACCTAATAGTTAAGATTTAAAGGCTTTTACACTCAGGTATGGAGTTCAAAATCTAGGCAATGTAACTTCTTGCAGACTATAGGATGCAAGTTTATCGAAAGTTCCAGAGTATTACATACAAAGCTGTTCGTTGTGTTCATCTGCTGCGAAATGGGTATGTTCATCAAGGGTGTCGTACATACAGAATCATTCATCGATCTAAGTGTTTCGGGGAAAACTTCATCATGAAATCATTCGTGGAGTTATTCATCAAAATTACATATGTTGCTGGTAATTTGATCGTTATATGTAATAGAATTATAATTATATGATGATGTAATTGTTATCCAATGTTAAAAAGAATGAAATAAATAAGTAAAAATCAATGAAGTGACTATTTAGCATAAATTAAGATAATTACAGTAAATCTTTTTTTATTGAATTCTTTTTTTTTTTGGAACACTATTTTTATTTATTTAATTGAATTCAAAACCTAGATTTCATTATATAAAAGTATTAGTAAATCTTTGATCAAACTATTGGACTAAAATGGTTTCCACAATCTAGTTTTGTTTATTTAAAGGAAAAAGATTATATTGAAGGAAGAAGAGATCTTATTTAACGTTTTATGAAGTGACATAACATTTTTCCTTTTATGGTACAATTTGGTCGATGGACAAAAAAATGCATTATATATGAGCTTTAGTTTATTCATATCAACTGTTTCTAGATGCTGAATCACACTGAAAATTTAAGCGAATAGATCAACCTCATCACGTTGAGGGTAAACAACATCGAGTCTCATCATACTCTTGTAACCGTCAGGCACCGGTCCGGTGCATTACCTTGCACACACAACTCCACAGCCGCAGGAGCTTTCCCGTAGAACCTCAGCAAGCTATTGTCAAGTGCAGAAGCATCTATATCTCTAACATGCCACACATAGTTTGGACCGACTACATCGTCAATAGTCGCTTCTTGCCACGCATGCATTCCATCTCTTTTTTTTTTGTAACTGGAAATGGTTAAACCAGAGTCTATTAAAGACACATACCTAACCCCCGTGTAGGTATAACCCATAGATAGACTTTCTCCTAGTCATTCAAATGGATCGAAAGCAATAACCCATATCCGTGTGGCTAACAGAGTTTTGAAGCAGAGTTTGTCGTATTAGATTTTCTTCCTTAAGTGCCACTGGTTACGTGCATTCCATCTCGCATCTGATGTTTTGTCGCTTTACACATTTTCACTTTGTGTCCCTTTGGACCTACTTGAATCTCAGGACAGTAACCATTTCAACCACGAGTCCATCATTTCAACGCTTAGTTTCTTCAAGCTCTTGTTCTTTGTGCTGATGCAATGATCATGAAGCTTTTCTTCCCTGCACTTGCCTGGTCGTTACGTTGCTCTTACCCATTTCGCCTTACATAAAACTTGTACGTCACATAACACACGAGAATTGAGCTTGCCCACTTCATTGTTTCGCCATGCATAAAACGTAACGTACATCATTCTCTCAACATGCAGTTATTTTAATACTAAACGTACGTCATCTACTCTTGCTACTAGTTGTTTTCGTGAGGCTAAACTTTCGAATAGAAATGGGTGTATTCCCTCGATTTGGTAGCTGGATCAATCAGAAAAGTCAACAGCCTCTTAAAGTCAGCTTCATATCCATCAATCATCGGAACCGAAGATGTCAAATATATATTTTATATAAACACATTTTGTTCTGTTTTTTGTTGTATGTAGGCCGAGTCCAAGATATCTAAAAATGTCGACTCAGAGGAAGACAATTTTGAATTACCTAATAAGGACTATCTTGATTTAAAGGAGGTGCGGAAGCAAATGAATCTTTGGCGTGAAGCAGAGAAGAAGCATCCATGGCATAATGCATCGCCTAAGATCAAAGTATCACCCCAAACAAAACAAAATACAATATTCATATCTTTTCTTTTTGCCTTAGTAACAACGATCCTTAAAAAAGGTCTAATGTTTTTGATGTTTGAAGGTGACACGTGAAAATGGTTTTTACCATATGCACATAGAATTGACCTTAGGGCTGGATCCTGATCAGGTCTACTTCTTCTTGACTGATCCAGAAAGTGGTCCATTTCAGAGTTTGGACAAGAGGCGCAGACTTATGGTTTCTTTCACTAATCATTAAATGATTTCAATGTGGTTTATATATATATTAAATACAGCAATAATACTTGAGACTGTTTTTTTTTCTTGATGAAGGAAAACAAATCAAGAAAGGTATTGTTTGAGAATGGTCCCAGGCTAATTACGAGGGTGGAGAAATCTGTGGCTTGTAAAGTATTTGGGGTGTATATACCTATCTCGATGCATCTAATCCTCGACGAAAACAGAAAAGATTATATGGTAAGAAGCTTCACAAGAATCAACACTTTCGTATTTGTATTGGTGAAACCTAATTTCTTTTTCATTTGTATTGGTGAAACCTAATCTCTTTTTGCTTATTGTGGTGGACAGACACAATATAAGAAAGAGAGAGTGATATTTATGAAAGAATTCAAGGGTAACTATAAAGTGGAGCCTGTATTTGTAGATAAAGAACGTTTGTGCAAAAAGAAGATACCAATGACTCGAGAAGAGTATAAAAAATGTAGTGGTGGCAAAGGAAAGATTGCATCAAAACTGACACTAGACCAATTCTATAAGCCATATCCTCCTTTCAATCTACCGCCGCTTTCTTGGTTAGTTCGTGGGCTCACCATCAAAACCTCTAAAGTTCTGCTTGCACTGCTTCAGGACATGACTTGGTTAGTGCGAACAAGTAAGCCACCTCCCAGTGAAGACAGCAAGTCAGCAAGTAACAAACATGAAAAACACTAAAACACTAGCCTCAATGAACATCACAAATACAAGTTCTAAAAATTAATAATATTCTCAAAAAGTATAAGAGAATACAAACAAACAAATATGTAAATCTGTTTATTGAGAAAAATTATAATAATAAATTTCAAATTCAGTTTACAAAATACAAATATAAATTTAGCGTTAAGAAACATATCAAATATTATATTATTAAACTTTAAATTTTGTTTTTCTACGAGAATTCGGAAGCAAATTTTAGCCCCGGTGAACTTTATTTTTAAGTAATTGATTAAAATAAAATGAAAAAAAAAAATTCATCCAATCAAATTAAAACAATAATGTGAAACTTGATTTATGAGTGAATTATCTTTTAATACATAGTATTTTTTTTTACTGAATTCAAAGCCTAGATTTCATGGTATTATTTGTAAATCTTTGATCAAACTATATAATGGACTAAAATAGATTCCACAATCTTATATAAAAGGAAGAGGATTATATGGAACTAACAAGAAATATCCTTAAACTTTCATAAATTTTTGCTTTGATGGTACGAATTGGTCTTGGACTTCATGGGGTCTATCCTAGTGGACACAAGCAAAAGATTGTAGTAATATCGGCTTATTTTTTTTCTTTTATGTTTATGTGATTCTTCTAAAAGATAGTGTTGTTGATTGATATTTGAATCACATTGAAAGGTCAAGCGACTAGATCAACTTCATCACGTTGAGGGTAAACAACATCGAGTCTCATCATACTCTTGTAACCGTCAGGTACCTGTGCACCACCTTGCACACACAACTCCACAACCGCAGGAGCTTTACCATAAAACCTCTGCAAGCTATTATCAAGAGCAGAAGAAGCATTTTGATCCCGAACATGCCACACATAGTTCGGACCAACCACATCGTCAATAGTCGCTTCTTGCCACGCGTGCATTCCGTCTCGCATTTGATGTTTCGTCGCTTTACACATCTTCACTTTGTGTCCCTTTGGACCTACTTGAATCTCTGGACAGTAACCACATGTCCACACTTTGTATCTCTCCATCAGTTTCTTGACTCCTGTGACCATTTCAAACCATGAATCCAACGTCTCAACGCTTAGTTCCTTCAAGCTCTTGTTCTCTGTGCTAATGTAATGATCATCTTCTTGTAAAGGTGTTGTAGGAACTGTGGTTTCTGAGTTCTTGTTGTTGACTTCCTCGAAATCTACAATCCGTCCTTCGATGCTGTAAACAGGTTTGGTTCTTCGTTTTGATGGGAACTTCTCGAGGTCTACGCCTGCTTGTATGCATAACTCAAGAACCGCAGAGATTTTAGGGACGGTGAACCTCTCGTCGTGGATGATTCTTGGTTTGAGAGCACGGTCATAGAGGTGGAAACATTTTGGGAACAAGACGACGTCGCTTGCTCTTCCTCTTTTCCATACATGAGTGGCGCTTCGTGAACCGCTCCCGGGACCTGTGCAAGTCCTTATTCCATGACCTTCCTTGCCAATGTGAACCTCAGAGCAGAATCTGAAAACAAAAGAACACAATCAACTCAGTGGCGTTTTAAGATCCAAAACCAGATAGAACCGACTAAATTCCTTTTTTTCAAGTAGTAAACACAATTTAAGAATAGAAACTTGATTAAACACTACAGTTTGTGATTTAATTTGAAGAAAAAAAAAACACATTATTATAACATAAAAAAACATGCAAATGCAACAATTTATTGAGGCTAACTCAGTTGTTTCAGCTCAATAACAAGAATGCCATATCAGACCAATACAAAGAACTAGACATTACAAACTCCTTTAACGAACTCGCACAAACCTCAACAATATTCAGCATGCTTCTCTTATAACTCTGTCTCTCTTATCTATACTCATCGATACCTCTAACATAAGCAAAAAAAAAAAACACTCTGATCGAAACAGAGACTTTCCCTGCCTAGTTCTCTAATACACTATCTCACTACCTATCAGCTAACTCAGTTGTTTCAGCTAAAGGACAAGAATACCATATATCACACTCATACAAGATGAATGGTAAGCGCTGTGAGTGCTTTCTGCATCTCCTTTTCTTTCTACAGCCACTTTAGTTTAACAATCATGCTTTAAAAAATTATTTAAAGCTACAGCCCCAAAATTAAAATAGGAAACAAAATGGCTTTAGAAATCAGTTCTTCTAGAGCTTTATATTTAGTGCTGTGAAAATTATCAATAGAAATCTACAACTACAGCTACTATTCTAAAGCCAAAAAAATAAAAGTCACAGCACTTACCAATCACTTACACAAGAACAAGACATTACAATTTCATATAGATACATAACCTAAAAGCTCCATACTCATCTCATGAATCAAAGAAACTCATCACTTCTTCACACAAACCTCAACAATATTCACAACGCCTCTCTTAAAAGAAAAAAAAAAAAAAATCATTTCAGACACTTCTCTGCCTATTCTCCAGCACACTACTTTTTTTTTTTTTGTCGTCAGTCCATAATATCTAGATCAAGTGGTGAACAGACAAATCGATCCTTCTAAGAGCATCTCCGTCTGGCCTGGTCTGATCTATATGGGAAAAAGTAGATCCCCTTCTTCTCTTCTCTTTCGCTAGTCCGTCCGCTCTACTATTCCTACTTCGAGGAATATGAAACAGCCTCATATCCTCAAAATCCTCTTGTAGTTTCTGGAACCTCTCAATCTCTGTTGCGAATGTTGGCCATTCCTCCGGATTAATAGACATGTCTACTAAATCCAGCACACTACCTATCAGCTAACAATACTATACATATAGATAATAAACTAAAAGCTCCTTTCATGATCTCATGTCAATCACGAAACAACAATACTCATCGAGAACTCTAACAGAAAACACTCTGCGTGAAACAGAGACTTATCTAACCTACTCTCCTCCACACTATCAAATGGATTACTCTACACACTCTTGAGCTTACTCAGTTGTTTCACCTCAATAACAAAGAATACTGATATCAAATTTTATTCAAATTATATGATTCCAGAGAAACTGAGATTAACCTGCAGCGATGAACAGAGACATGATGATTTATGATTCCAGAGAGTCCATTGAGCAACGAAGCGCGGCATCTATGAACTCCGTGAGCCACGTGGACGAGTTCCGGTACGAGTAAACCGTTATCCGGCGGATCTTCCAAAACTCGACATGGCTGTGATTTTCTGAGCTCTTTCTCCTCCTTGGCGCGCTTAATCAGCTCCTTCATCGGAGTCGGATAAGGCTTCCTCTCGGATTTGTCCTTCCGAGGCTTAGGTACATCGGCGTAGAGAGGATCATCGTCGAGAGTGGTTAGGGATTTGATGGAAGAAGAAGATGAGAAGTTGGATTTGTTGTTGATTAGGAAGAGTGAGATTTGCACTATACGCTTTCTTCTTTGCATCATGCACACAATGTGTTCGATAGAATTCCCTTGGTGCCGCTCAATATTGGATTGCATGAGCGTTCCTTTTTTTTTTTTTTGGTTATTTAACAACTGGAAATTATTTATTATCTTAAAATGTAACCAAATTACAAAATTACATAAATTTTAGGTAGCTAAATTATGTAAACGCATATACAACAATGAAAAAATTTAGGGATTTTTATGTTGTATTATATATAGTCTTATTTCAATTTAGATCTACAAATATTTTTAAGTTTACAATTCAACGTATTAATTTAACCATAAGAAATAAAAATTTGGAGTGACTAATTTTTAATGTATTTTTGTTCAGTTTTTATTTTTGACTAGAATCTTTTCCGGGCTACGCCCGGATTTATTTTCATAAATTCTTAATTTATTTTAAAATATTATTTATATTTAAATATGTAATAGATATTGGAAAGTTTAACAAATATAAATTATTTGATAGAGTACACATATCCAAAATTTAAAAAAACTATAAACAAAATAATATATTACATATAAATTTGAATAACACATGACAAAATACTCAAATTAATATATAAATTGGTTTGGTTTCAATATTTGGATAGAAAATCAATAGATATTTCAAATATTTTTGTTGTTTTGAGTATACTTTGTCTATTTTGAACATTTATTTTGACTATCTGTATATATTTTTAAGTATTTACACAATTTTAAAAGTATCTTATATATTTTGGATGTTTTTATTATACATTAAATCTAAAAATAATTAATATATTTAGCTATATAAATCTATTTCGGATACATTCAGGTATCCCAAATATTTTGGTTCGGATTGGGTTCGATTTCGGTTTTTTAGATATCAAAATTTTGAATCCGTTCAGATATTTAATAAATTTCGGTTGGAGTTTGGTACTACTTTTTCGGATTGGGTTCGGTTCGGTTTTTCAGATTCTGATTTTTTTCCCAGTTCTAACCGACACCATGCGTATAACTCTTTTAGCTTTTTAAAAATAAAAATAAAAATAAAACCTATCAGTTCGCTCAGACCGGACCATCACGCCAAGCCTTAAAAATTACCACCACTTGGTTTTGTAACTTTTAGTTAGAACGTTGTTGTTTGTGTTAAGAAAAAAGAAGTTGGAACATCAATATTTTAAATACAACGAAGTACGAAAACACAACGTGGACGTTTGGTGCTAAATTATTATTTTAAATTGTACCTGAATTATCAACTCCATTTTTTGGAGTTCATGGTAGTTTGATAAAGAAAGAAAAAGAGAAATAAGAATCTGAGAAGAGGTTGGGCTTTGTCTCTTTAACTTGATATCTTAACCTACAGCAGCCACATTTTCTGAGCCATAACTACTTGTGTTTTGGGTTATGTGGAGCTCGAAGAGTGAATCTCTGTGTTCTGGTCATTCGAGGATAATGGAGCTAATGTGCGGAGCAATGATGACCTGAGAGGGTAAGGCATGACGCACATGTAACTGAGTGGAGAAGCAGACATGGTGTAACTTAGTGAAGAAGAAGAGCTCATGGAGTGGTCAAATTTGCAGGCTGGCACAAACTTGCAAATCCCGTTTCTAATTGGGACCAGCTCTGGCTTTAAGTAAACCGTTGATTAACACAAAATCCAAACTGCCAATATTCTCTAATGGTACAATCATATTGTCCAGCATTATTCTTGTCACCCGAGACTTGGATCCACTAACACACACATCCTTCACTTCCTCCAGCATCTGTGTCTCCCCCTTCAAGAAGATATATATATATATATATATACAGTGATTACAACTCATCTGATTTTCAGCTGCTAAGTATTTGAATGGTTGTAAGATTCACCTCACCAAGTCCATTTCGAGATCTTTTTGGTCTACGATACCTCCTGCAACTAGATGTGGTTATCTTTTATCATCACCTTGTCAAATAATCCCATCTTATGATTCTTCCCTCCACCCGTCAGCACCTAAGATAAGAAAGAAAAACTTATGGTGTCTCAGCAAGATTTTAACCTCATAATCTTATAAAAGAGATTAACAAATGTGTCTATTCAAGTGGAGGTGCGAGGAAGAAGTGTAGTACGTACCACCCATTTTTCTANTTATCTTTTATCATCACCTTGTCAAATAATCCCATCTTATGATTCTTCCCTCCACCCGTCAGCACCTAAGATAAGAAAGAAAAACTTATGGTGTCTCAGCAAGATTTTAACCTCATAATCTTATAAAAGAGATTAACAAATGTGTCTATTCAAGTGGAGGTGCGAGGAAGAAGTGTAGTACGTACCACCCATTTTTCTACTAATCTCAAACCAGGAGCTATTTTTCTTGTCACCAGTATATGTTTAGGTTACGCAGCATCTGCCAACAACTACACAAAAAAAAGTCATCAGCTCAACTTGCCACCACAGCTTGAAACAAAACAAAAAGAATCACAAACCTCTTAAGGAACCAAACAGAATATAAAACCAATTAGATGAACTTGGTTCACTATATACTAAACTGCGCTATAGAACCGTAGAATCCCCTTACTAATCCAGTAAACTATTTTATGTGAATGTAACCACAACAATCACTTGAGAAACTATAGTGGTGTATGCAAAAACCTTGGTAACGCTAATCCTCTGCATAAAGTCTTATGAGCATTCCCTGATACTTTCCCAAACTTTAAACTTTTGTGACCATAATCTCCATTCTTGCGCGTCCATTCAACCCTGAGAGATTCAACATATCACTAAACATCACTTAACCAAAACCAAAACAAAGATACAAACAATCCCCTTTCAAGGATTTGAAATCTAAACCTTCAGAGAGGGATCAACTTGTTCAAAAATCATCTGGGCAATAGCAGTTCCAGCAAAAGTCCCATCTTCCTTAGCCAAGANAATCTCCATTCTTGCGCGTCCATTCAACCCTGAGAGATTCAACATATCACTAAACATCACTTAACCAAAACCAAAACAAAGATACAAACAATCCCCTTTCAAGGATTTGAAATCTAAACCTTCAGAGAGGGATCAACTTGTTCAAAAATCATCTGGGCAATAGCAGTTCCAGCAAAAGTCCCATCTTCCTTAGCCAAGACATAAGCTTCGACCTCCATATCATATGGTATTATGAACAAAATTCCATATCTTTGATGTGATAAAGAGCTTCTCACGCTTCACTACGCCATCTTCAAACAACTTCTTCAGAACTTTCCCAATCTGCAACTAATAAATCCACGTATCTATAAACACAGTTCAAATCTGTGTCTCAAAATAAACCTCTCGCTTCTCTCTAGGTTAAGAAAAAGAAAAAAAAAAGCACCTCTCTTTTCCGCTACTTATCATCTCCATCTCCTTGTTCATCTCTGTACCCTCTTCACCAGAAAGGGTGGAGTTCAGTTGAGGTTGTCTCCGTTATCAGATCCGGTGGTTCTGGATCGTGCTTGGCGGTGACAGTGGGGTTAGAGGACGACCCGTCTCTCTGTTAGTTTTGTCTCTATATCCTTCAACTCGCCTTCTTGTGGTCCAAATTCGACATCTCTGAAAAACACCACTTCATCAGCTTTAGGGGAAGAGACAACGGCCTTGCTGTTTGGTTTCTTTGACATAGAATCCTCGGAGACAGCTTTTGACAGAGGAGTCGGAGTGGAGAACCTCCTTGCCTCCTTGCCATTTGGTTTCTTCAATTCATCTCCGACACACGAAAGAACAATCTATTAGAGAAATGGAAACGACAAATCGGTCGGTGACGTGGCAAAATAGAATGTTTTTATTGGCCGATTATTTTTATCTACGTGGACACTCTCCCCTTTGCTGGTATTGCCCTTTTAGTAGTGATATAGATTTAAGTTGCATGAATATATAGGCCTATTATTATTTGGGCTTTTGGGCTTTTTTTAGCCCAGCCATTTAAACGCCTAAATGTCTATCAGGTGATTTAGAATTCTAGATTATTGATAAGGTTGTCCAAAAAAGAAAAGATTATTGATAAGGTTCGTTTGCATGTCCTGGGGGATTCATTCCACGTGATTTACGATTTTTCAAAAAAGAAAAAAAATTAAGATATTATTTTAGGCGAAGTGGTATGTTATTATGTATGGAAGAGACATTGAATTAAATAATATACTCGTGTAGGTCACAAGAAATTCATATGGAGAGGTTATGATGAAGATCCCCACTAGAGTGTGAAGTTTCAAATGGTGCATGAATGTGTTTACCCAAATACATAGTGTGTGAAATGCATGGTTTGACCAAGGTTATTTCTTATTATGTTTTGACATGAGCCGGAATAAATGTTAGAATAGGTAAACTAATAGTATAACAAAATCATTTGTTTTGAATTATAAAACGTGTGTTCTAGTTAATTTCACAACATGAAAGACATCTACATATTCTCTGGGTGGTATTATAATTAGAGATAATTATGATTAGTATCTGATGTGGGCATAATTTAATAAAATATTGATTTTAACTAGCCTCTGAAATATTTAAAGATTGTATTTATAGTCTTCCTCATTATATAAAATTATGAAAATCTTTAGTAGTTTTATAATAGTTCTGAAATTTCAGATCGAGTTCTAATTATGATTCTTGAAATAAAATGTATAAACTCATAACATAGTCTAGCTATTCCAAGATTAATAAAATAGTATAAAATTGTAATTCAGGGTTAAATATGATAAGGATCATTAACGTATTGTTTCACACAGATTTGGATCAAATGACATCATAAACAATGTCTTCAATCATTAAAATGGTATATATAATGTTAACTAATCATGGACAAAGCGATACGCCATTGATGAAACTTGCAATCTAAATATGATAACGTGGACAAGTAATCATAGTTAGTCTTTTATCAAAAAAAAATCATAGTTAGTCTAGTTTGGAGTATAATTGTATTTTAATTGTATCTTTGGAGTTAATTGGCAAATGCTTTAAAAGTGTTGTATAGTCTTTGTATGATTACTTGTACAGGTAAAAATATTTATCAATCATGTTTTGTAAAGAATTTTTAAGGCTACAGATTTTTATTTCTTTTTTCTTTATTTTTGTCTCTAGAAAACAATAAACCTAGATC